AAAAAAAAAATTATGAAGCGTCCTTAATGGAATATTACATAGGCATTTAGAAAAATTAGATATGCCTGCACATGGAAACTTTCCCAAATAAAAAAAGCTGGTGTATGCCAAATAAAATCTGGAAGAATATGTATCTAACTGGTTATCTTTGGGTGGTAGGATTATAGATGTCTTCCACTTTCCATAATCGATATTTATGTAGAGTTTGAAGTTGCATTCCTTTTGGCTTGTTTACTTTTGTAACCAAAAGAAACAATAAGATTACATTTAAAATGCATTCAAACTTTATTATATATAATTTATGTATCGCTGCTTGCCGTCAACAATCTTATTACTTTTGTTTCTCTCTGATCCTTTATTTTATTTTATTTTATTTTATTAATTTTTGGAGACAGAGTCTCGCTCTGTCACCCAGGCTGGAGTGCAGTGGGGCGATCTCAGCTCACTGTAACCTCCACCTCCCAGGTACAAGTGATTCTCCTGTGTCAGCCTCCTGAGTAGCCGGGACTACAGGTGTGCATCACCACATCACCTAATTTTTGTCTTTTTAGTAGAGATGGGGTTTCACCATATTTACCAGGCTGGTCTCGAACTCCTGACCTCAAGTGACCTGCCCACCTTGGCCTTCCAAAGTACTGTGATTACAGGTGTGAGTCACTGTGCCTAGCTAAGGTTTTTTGTTTGTTTGTTTGTTTGCTATTTTTGAGATGGAATCTTGCTCTATCGCCCAAGCTGGAGTGCAGTGTTGTGATCTCAGCTCACTGCAACCTCCGCCCCTAGATTCAAGCGATTCTCTTGCCTCAGCCTCCTGAGTAGCTGGGACTACAGGCATGTGCTACTACACCTGGCTAATTTTTTGTATTTTTAGTAGAGATGGGTTTCATCATGTTAGCCAGGATGGTCTTGATCTCCTGACCTCGTGATCCGCCCACCTTAGCCTTCCAAAGTGTTGGTATTACAGGCTTGAGCCACCACGTCTGACCTGAGTTATTTTTAATTAATACAAACATCCTCTAATGCAGATTTCTTGTCCTAGTTGCAAACATTAAAAAGAAATTGTGTGTGTGTGTGAATGTGTGTGTGTGTGTGTGTGTGTGTGTGTGTATTTCCCTGGGGAGAGGGTTCATAGTTTTCATCAGATTTGTAAATTTGGCCTTCTAAAGTGGAGCAGAAGCATGTGTAAGCAAATTATTCAGTGATTAAAATAGTAATAAATAAGAACAGTAATAATAAAGGTTTGAGGCAATATGTAAAAGTCATGACAAGGTGGTAAGTCAGAAAAGGCAGAATAATGCAAGATTGTATTTCAAAAAGAAAAGGAAAGTTTATATCTAAGCTATGCATTTATCAAATATTTATTGAGCACCTACTATTTGCCAGGCACTACTCTAGATCTGGGGATATAGCAATAAAGAAAACAGACAGTAATCAGCTAGGCCTGGTGGTTCATGCCTGTAATTACAGCCACTCAGGAGACTGATGCAGGAGAATTGCCTGAACCTGGGAGGCGGACGTTTCAGTGAGCTGAGATTGCACCACTGCACTCCAGCCTCAGTGATGGATGGAGACTCTGTCTCAAAAAAGAAAGGAAGAAAATAGACAGTAATCCCTGTTCTGTGGATCTTACAGTCTATTGGAAAGATGGAAAATAAATAAGTGGCCAGGAATGGTGGCTTACTCCTGTAACCTCAGCACTTTGGGAGGCCAAAGTGGGAGGATTGCTTGAAGCCAGGAGTTCAAGACCAGCCTGGCCAATGTAGTGAGACCCAGTCTCTACAAAACAAGTTTAAAATTAGCCAGGCATCGTGGTGCAGGCCTGTAGTCCCAGCTACACTGGAGGCTGAGACCAGGGAATCCCTTGAGCTCAGGAGGTTCAGGCTGCAGTGGGCTATGGTTGCACCGCTGTTCTCCTGCTGGGGTGACAGAGCGAGACACTGTCTCTAAACAAAAACAAAACAAGGCCGGGTGTGGTGGCTCATGCCTGCAGTCCCAGCTACTCAGGAGGCTGAGGCAGGAGAAACATCTGAACCCAGGAGGCAGGGGTTGCCATAAGCCAAGATCGCACCACTGCACTCCAGCCTGGGTGACAGAGTGAGACTCCATGTCAAAAAAACCCAACACAACAACGACAACAAAAAACCCATCACTACTTACAAGCTGTGTGATCTTGGGCAAATAGCTCAGCCTCTGAGCCTCAGTTTTCTTTCTTTTTTTTTTTAATGAGACGGGGTTTTGCCATGTTGGACAGGCTAGTTTCGAACTCCTGACCTCAAGTGATCCACCGGCCTTGGCCTCCCAAAGTGCTGGGATTATAGGTATGAGCCACCACGCCTGGCCCCTCAGTTTTCTTTTATTTTCTTTCTTTCTTTCTTTCTTTCTTTCTTTCTTTCTTTCTTTCTTTCTTTCTTTCTTTCTTTTTTTTTTTTTTTTTTTTTTTTTTTTTTTTTTTT